TTTATATATATATATATATATATATATATATATATATATATATATATATATATATATATATATATATATATATATATATATATATATATATATATATAAAAGACAATATATAAAGACAAAGACAATATATACTATTGTCTTTGTCTCTGTGATTAGGTCTGATAAAAACAGAAGAGCAAAATTTAACTGAGACACGGGTAAAAAAATGTCACTTTAATTAAGTTCTGACCTTTATGGGTATTTACCTTATTAAATCACAATTAGTTTATAAACATGAATTAATGCTATGTCTTAAACTGATAAGTTTGCATTGTATAAGAAAATCCTTAGCAGTGACATTGTTCTAGCTTTTTTTATGCATTTTACAATAAGAAATGGTTCAATTAACTGTTAAATCTTAACAGTTAACAAAAAATAGGAAATCGAAAAGATGTGGACAAAGTAACATAAATAAACAAACTTTAGCTTGCCTTGTATTCTGTTTGCCTTTCTTGTAATTTCTGTAAATTATAGGATGACTGAAACAATTACAGTCATTCTGTAATTGCATTGCTGTCATGTTCATCCATCCTTGCTGACATTTTTTACTTGTTATTTTATCTCATTCTAGAGATCAAACCGTGTGTCAACGTTTGATCTCTATGTAGGGCACCCTATATTTGTATTACAGATAAGTTATCGTGATCTTTTCAAGCTAATGAAGTGCAATGCATTCATAATTTTATATTCTGACAGGAAACACCAGGACAAACATTTCCGATTTGCTGAACTGCACACTGCCAAAGCTGTGACTTCTCCAATTATTTTCTGGAGCTGATTTTTTATTCTAATCACACTTAATGATGTGCTGGCACATTTTAAAAAGAGAAGTCGTGGCTGTGTGATCTCCACATGAGCAGATTATCACAGCAGTGGGGAGACTTCATCCTGCCGACCTGCTGAGGGGACCGGGAAGGGTGGGAAAAGATGGATAACATGAGCTTAAGGAGTCTTGGGGTAGTGATTGACTCCAGAAGAAAAGAAAAGAAGAGAAAACAATAACATCTAAAAACTATGTTCTTACTGGAGAAAAACAAATTTGTTCACTGTTAAAAGAAACCAGGACAGAAAGAAAAAGGACTGTCAAACTTTTCCCAGTGGGATGACATGTTTGTGTCACAGAATCTGAGACCTAATGGATCACTGAAGATCATCTGAGGCATCAAAATGTAGCAACTAGATGGGCACAAAAAATTAGATAGGAGTTGTCAAGAAATGCAGCACAGACAGGAAACTGCACTGCTTTCCATCAGCTTTGGGAGTCTGAACACAGATCTGTTTTAGTTGAAATAAAAAAAAAAAAAAACTGTGGGATCTCCTGTTTGTTGTGTTGCTGATTATTTTCTCCATTGTATTTCACACTCACAAACAGAGACTGTGACATAAGCATGCTGTAAGTTTAATAAAAAGCTATACATTTTGCTCTGACCTTGACTTTGTTTTATGTGGGCAACAGTCAGATGAATTGCACTTTTCAAACACAAATGCTGACTTTAGAGGCTTATTACATTTTTTTCACATTTGGAACAACAAGGAGCCTCAGAATAACTTATTTAATTCAGATCAATTTCTTAAGAGATGTGAAAGCCATGAACAAGACATAGAAAAAAAAAAAACCTTAAACAACCTGCCTACAAAGGCGGTAAAGCAGCAGACAGAAGGTTATAACAGAGGCTAATATTAAAGTATCAACTCCTGCAGAGCCTTTCCAAGAGAAGGGACATTTCACAGCAGGGTACTTACAGATTGTCCAGGCTCTCCAGCCTCTCCTGGGCTGCCTTGGAAACCTTGTGGGCCCTGAGAAGATGAAGGAGGCGAAAGGTGATTGGATGAGAGCAAGAGCTGTTTCACTCACAAACACAACTGCTGTTTATTGTTGATTCTTTAAAAAGCAGAAATATGACAAAAAAATATTCAAAAACTATTCAAAGGTTGTTCTGTCAGGCTTCTGAAAATTGAGGTACCACTTTTTTTTTTCTTCCATTTTTCGCAATTTTTATGACAAAAAGCATTAAATGTCTTCAACAGATATAAATAATAATAACTAAATAGTTTTTAAATAAGGAGCTGTTGTCAGTGAAAAAAAAGAAATCATGCCTCCTTTCATAGGACTCTACCATGCATGTGCATCACATGTTAAGTTAACAAACGTCTCTGAATCTGAGCTCATCACTGTAATTAAACCGAAGGACCGAGGTGGGGCAGGTGGCACTGTCTGCAGGCTAGCAGGAAGGGCTGAAAGCGCTAACGTGTGGTTGTAGTGGAAAGAGGAAGGGTGTGTTTGTGTGCATGTGTGTGTCTAGAGGGTGGGGACTTGTAAGCCCACTGGGCAGTATGAAAGGTAAATTGTCAGGTGTTCAGCAATCTGTCTGGCATGTGGCACAGGAAAAAGCCCCGCAGGCTGCAGCTGGGAGACGAAAGTCTTCTAAAGTGCCGGGGAAAAAAGCCCACAGTCTCATTTAAAAGATGTCTGCCAGCTTGTGATATGCTGTCCTCCCTGGAGTCTGAAAACTCTGTGGTATTATGAAGGTCAGTACAGCTGTCTGAGGTGGATCATAAAGAGCGCATGCAATGCAGCATGCACTTTTACAAATATAAGATCGTAGCATGAGTACACTGCGTTAATCAGCATCTATGGCCACTCCCAGCTTGGGTGGTGTGTTCAGAGTAAAGCAGGTACTTACAGGTGATCCTGAGGGCCCAGGTGGTCCTCTCGGTCCCATGGGCCCCTGAGGGACAGAGAGGAAACCAGAGAAGCAACATCAGCAAAACAGGTACGACATAAAATCATGATTTTCACTGGAAAACAATTAGATTTATTCTCATGTTTCTGTTTGAATATGTTGGAGGGAAATATAACCAACATATCCACTTGAATCACTCGCAGTTTTAGAGGCTCATCACCTGCTTTGCCCCAAAGCTACATAATACTCAACAGCTCTACCTGTCAAATCCATAAATCGTTAGAAATTCCTCAGTGGCATTAAGACCTCCTCTTCATTCCAATCCTTCTTTTTAGCTTTTAAGTTCATACCAAGATCCTTTTTTAGCTTTGTTTCTACTTGAGGTGAGTTTCTGTATGTTTAAAGCCCATTAGATGTGCTTCTGATCTTCCAAAAGAGGAAAAAAAACAAACCATCCCATCACATTTGACTGATTTAAAGAGAATTTGGGTTGAAATCTGAGGGTTAAGGTATCCAGCGGAAGCTCAGCTTGGTCAGACTGAAGCTTAATCTGCTCAGTGAGAATTTCTGCCTGGATTCACACGCCAAAACAATTTTTATGTTAACTTCCTGCATCATTAGTCAGCAATTACACTCCGATGGGGTGATGTGTGACATTCCTAATTGCTTTTCTGTCTGATAAACAAAAGAGAAATCCATAATGAAAGAAGTGGGAGACAGCAGCAACTTTGTGCTAAAATAGTTCCCACTATAATGTTAATTATAAAAATAACAACCTCGCCCCCCCCAACTCCTACTTCTGACAGTCATTCTCCTTCGTGACAGCATGCCCCCCGTCATTAGTGCTGTACTTATGCTTCCTCAATCAAAAATGTTGGAACCTGGCCAAAGCAAATGTCACAGAACTGTACAGTGGTCCTTGGACGTGAATGAAAGTCACCTTTCAGTGGGAATGGGAAGCCCAAACCGGAGTGAGCAGAAACTTATCAATGGGGCTTTTTCTTCTCAGGACGTCTGAATATGTGTTTAAGTGTGTCTGCATTTCAGTAAAAATACTACTATAGTGTTTGGCATATATATATGCAGGATTGATGTTGAAGTAAATGATTAAGGGCTCCATAAAGCATCAGTCCAGGTCAGCTGCCCTCCCTCCAGGGAGCTGAAAAACTGCCAACGCAAATGTGAGCCGGCTTCACAAGAACAGAGCATAGTGGAGATCTGTCAGACAGACATGTGGTGAGAGCATCAGGACGAGCAAAGTGAAAAGTGGGGATATGATCCACTCCAGTCACCCCAGCCCTCCGTCTCTCCCTCCCTCCTGCCACAGACCCCAGCTGGGCTGAAACTCTGCCGAGCTGGATCCTTAAATAGCTCCCAGAGCGCTCCTCGCTCCGTTTCAAGAATGCCAGCAGTGGCTTTTTGTGAGTTTGAAATATAATGATGATCAATAGCTGCTTCAGTAATCACCCATCCTTTACTCCTTCTGAAACCCTCATTTTCCAGCAGGAATCAGGATCCAACACCAGTGGATAAATGTGTCACTTTTACTTCTTAATCTAATACCCAAATTATTGCATAATGACATTATTGGTTTTACTGCTCTTTACTGAATTTCAATCTCACATGGATAATGATAGAGATGCAATGGACTCCAAGATTTCGTTTCTCATCAAAGGAACCCTAAGGTGAAAATGTTTTAAGACTGATAGAAAACTATTTGCTTAGGTTTCCCTGTTTCTACTTGTCATGGTTGCATATTGCATTGAATTCAGATTATTTTAGAGTAATACGAAGATACTCAGACACCTGCAAAGCGAGTAAAGTCTTACAACAACTAACTAAATCACAACAACATGGTTTATATTGATTTGCCCCATTCCCCAAAATGACATGTAAGCATAATTTTCACAATGTGTTGACTGAAGTGGTAGAAATGGTTGCTTTAAAAGCTGCTTGAAGGTATTCTTCTTTTGTCAACCATGGTTGTTTCCAAAAATAAAACATGTCTGTGATTATTTTTTACATAAAAATTACTTCTCAGGAAAAAGATAATGCTGATGAAAGGGTGCCAAAAAAGTTCAAAAAGAGCCAGAAGGGCTTCTTATGGAGGATTCAACTAATCACTCAGACTGATGCTAATACTGAGCTAACTCATGAATGGCAACAGCCAGATATGGATGTTTCTGCTCACCCAGAGAGGTGCAGATGTTTTTATGTTGACTTGATGTTTTGCAGAAGGTCCCTGGACTGGACTATACAGGACTAGGTTACAGGTATTTTCTCTGATGAACCCATTAGGACTGGAATGTGTTGAAAATAACTGCCTTATGGAAAAAAAAAGAAACTAACACGTGTCTTCATGCTGATAAAGCTACATTCAGGTGTGTGGGATTGCCTCGCATCACTCATAATTTGCCTGCAAACACAACCATGAACAATCCATTTCTTTCACTAACTGAAGCAAATGCTTCTCCATCACCTGATCACTAAGTCCCAAAAGTGACTCACTGATCAAAACATTGACATTTTGGGAACATAGACAGGAAAGTATCCAAATCTTACTCCCACTGTGAACCTATTGACACATTACATAAACATGATGTGTTTCTCAACAAAGTCTCTAAAATGTACGACTCGTTTACTATTCAACTTCAGCTTACAATACAGAAACCAAGACAATAATTCATGTTTTTCTACAGTAGTTTGAACTGAGATAAACTTTACACCCTAATATGCAGATGAATCTTATACCCAGGTTTGAATGATACTTAGAATATTTCCCTGGACTTGTTTTAGCATCACATGGCAGAGCATGGCTGTCTCGGTGTGGCCTCTTTCTCACCATTGGTCCTTGCATCACACCCATCTGTGCGCCTCCGGCCTTCTCATCAAAACCGCTGGTCATTTGAGCAGCAAAGTTCTGGAGCAGGCAAAAATAAAACAGACCACAAATGACCAATCAGTCAATAAAATATTATTTCCACAAGACTTTTCATGCAAAACAGCAAAGCAGAGTGCTTCACAGATTATAAAAAAAAGACACCTCAATCTATCTGTCTGTTGGTCTGGAAATAGCTTAAAATGTGTTTCCAGGGTTTAGGAGTGCACATAAAAACTAAGCAGTTGCAGTAAGGCAGATGAAAGGATTGTTATTATACATTTATAATGGTTAATGACCCAACTAACTTAAAGGTAAGCTTTAACTTTTTCTAAATCTAATTATCTTTGTTGGCACAATCTGTTTTTTTACTGAACTGAAGCTTTTTGCATCATTTTGGCCGCAGTGGGAATCAGCTTCTAAGAGATAGCAAGCTTCTGGGTATCATGTGAATCACGATGCAGACAAAGGAGAGACAGGGGGCATGTGAACCTTTTTCACAAAGACTCTTCTCACCCTTCTACTGAAATGCTCCTTGCATTCCCCTCCTTAGGTCTATCTCAGCATATCACCCCCACCCTCTTTAGCCTCCCCTCTGTCCTTTCTCCTGCAAAGAATGAGAGGCATTCTGTCCATTCTCTCTCAGCATCCATGCCGTTGTATCTCTGCCCCCTCCCATCTCCTGCAGTTTCACACATCTTTTGTCCTTTTTGGACTATTTTCTGCTGTTCTTTACCCCATTTTCCCCCTAATTTTAGCCAGTCGCATCTACTCTCCTGTCATCTTTGAATATGCGTTGAGCTCCTTTATGTTGTAGCAGTATAAGTATACTTACTCCACCAAGTCCAGGGGGTCCATTAGGTCCTGGAGGCCCGGGGGGTCCAGGGTTTCCAGGGGTGCCAGGTTCACCATCTCTGCCACGAGGACCGGGGCTCCCCTGAAGAAGACAGAAAGAGTTAAAATAAACCTAAAAAAATACTTGGAAAAGAACAAAATATAGTCAAATGTGTTCATAAAACCATTTTCTAATAAAAACTTAACTACAAGTTTGTCAAAAAATATAAGCTTTAAGAATAAATTAAATGATTAACAATGCAAACAATAGGAATAAGAAGAAATGTTTGCACAAAGAAAGTTTTATTTTGTCAGCTAGTAAACATCCATATTCTCATATTTATGGTATTATGGATAGAAATTATAATATTATCTTTATCTTCTTATGTAGGGGAAAAAGGGTCTAAAAGAAAAATGTTTATGATCAAAGAGTCATTCATTCAGTTTCTGTGCCAATATCTGAGCTCAGGAGCAATTCATATTTTTATAGCCGCTGACAGAAAGTAAAACAACATGGACAGTATTAGTTAGCTACCACTGACAGAAGCCCACAGCTCAGCTTATGAAATAATCTGACTTGCCAGAGGAATACCAAGTGAAATATGCCATTCAGACTCAACAAAACAAAACATTTCTGGTTTAGACATCCATTTAAAGCACTTTCATTACAGGTTGTGTTGCATGCTTGTGATTTCTCAGGCCGACCCTGCATACCTCTGTGCATGTAGTGACAAATCACCTAGGAAGCTAATCCAAAACCAAAAAAAAATTACTGAATATCTAAAAGGGCTGCAGACCTTCTCACTCGCCAAAAATAAATCCAGCTCATGTTTAAATCTGCATAAACAAGATAACTACATGACATAAACTACTCGCCTGCAGCCCACTATCACATCCGCCTTGTTACATTAATGAGGCGATCAAAGCAGATGCAGATTTCCCACACCAAGCGACTGGGAGGCCTCCGAGAGAAGCCGACGTTTACATTATGAGTCTCCCAACAGTCTTGCATCTGTTAAACAACCCAGACCACACGGCCTAATGGAAACGACACATGACTAGTTAGAGTGTGGTGCTCAGTGAAAGGCTACTATTATCTGCAAGCTATAACACACACACAAACACACACCCTCCAGGAGCCACAGCTATCAAATTCAATCAGACATACTGTACTCATTAACAGAGCAAGGAAGGAGTATAGTTTTTTTTTTTTTTTAAACTTCTGGGAGATTTTCTTATTTTAATGTATATGAAACCAACCTTCTCTCCTTTTTCTCCTCTTGGTCCTCGGGGTCCTTGCTCTCCTGGTGGGCCCTGGATGAACAGGATGGAGGTAAATGAGGTTAGGATTTATTTCCATACAAGTGAAAGAAGCAGCTGCTGAATTTAAACTCTGATGGTGTTGTAGAGATGAAATTTGCATTAAATTGTTATTTCACTGTCAGGGTTGCCAGATGTCTTTCATTTTGAAATTCAAAATGTTTCAATATTTTGGTCAATTTTCCCCCTATTTTGACAGACGATTATAAAAACAATTTTTTTTTTTTATATTCACTCCAAATATTTCTACAGTGGTCAAGCTTTACATGTGTAAACCTAAAACTCAAATGCGTCAGGTAAGAAAGTAAATGAGATAGGAAAAAATACTTTTCTGCTTTTTCCTAATGAGTTTCTTGTACTGAAACTCCCAGAGTTCACCTGGAGTGACATCTGTCCATGAAACATCTGCAGGTGCATGCATGCACTTACAGATAGAAAAGGACATACAAAAAAAGTTGATTTATTGGGAACATTCTGTTTTAAGTGGGTGTAAGATATTTAAATCAACTCATTTCTGGAATTTCAGATATTTAATTAGGAGTGAATACAGCCATGCTGATCTAGACTTTGATAAATTGCTAAAACAAATGCTATATATTTCTAGACTCTACATGACTGAATCGAAAGCTTGTCATTTTTAAGCAATAAAAAAGGAAAAGCAAAAGTCTAACATGGAAGAAAGGTATATACCATGGGGCCGGATGGTCCTCTTGGTCCTACAACCTATGTTGGGAAAAGAAAAAAAAAAAAAAACATTAAACAAATATATATTTCATATAAATAACAGCTTTAATTTAACTGGTTCTGCAGAAGCTTTGCATTTACTGGATGTATTCTCTTTCAAGAGGAAAACAAAAACATTATCTTTCCCCGATCAAAAGTAGACTAGCTAATTGCTTATTTCTTCAGGCAACGCATAAGGAGAAACATACAGTAAACAATGGCCTTTTATTTCCTACTATGAACTGAGGCTCAAAACACTTCCAGGTGCAGCAGCACTGAGGAGTTTACTCTCTCGTCTGGTAGGAACTTGAATGTACTGAGGCAGTGTTGGACTTGAATACACAAGCTATCCTCTTCTTGTCTCATCTTTTTTTTTTACAACCTGCTTTACAACTTACTGTTAAATTATTACCACGTTTTTAAAGTCACACCCAGAAAGCTAATTTAAAGCTTGAAGTTAATTTAAGGGTAGTTGGGCAATGGTATTTCATTCTAATTTGTTTCCAGCGGTTGGTTTTACACCCGTTTCTTTTAGGATTAAACCCCTGAGGAAGATAAACATACTAATCTCAATAAAACGACCATCGTAGGCTTTTCCTGACTACTACTGGTTTCATGTTCTTTGAGGTTTGACATGCTTTTGGTATATCAAATATGACTTTAAAAATGTGACTTTATAATTTAACACCTGAAAATTGGGCCTCTGTTTCTTTAAAAACTCCAGCTCTTTCTGAAACTCCACCTACAGGATGTCATCATAACATCCCTCCTCTATTAACCATTGAAGGTTTTTACCAGCGTTGCACTGAGAAGTAGCTCGTATAATGATTTCAGGTGATGCGCAGTTCCACCCAGGAGTTTACTGATTACTGCTGGCTAGTCTGAAGGAGTGGGGGAGGGGTGCTCTGTGAGGCAGGAGTTTGGAAGCTTGGAAACTGCAGCTCCAGAGAGGAGCTGCGTCTCAAAGGCGGTGCTCAGTCCACCCAGGCGTTTTACACAGCTCAATGGTTGCCACGGGAGATTAAAGGATTTCTCAAACATGCATGAAAGAATTAAGGCAACACTCCAGGTATTTTTTGGATGAAGGAACAACATTATAGCATGATGTAAAGCTCAAAAACATAGATTTTACATGTTACCACCCCTTTAAACAATTACAATATATTCACATATACTATATGTATCTTTTTTGCTAGACTAACAGTGCTTTATGCAAGAACCGTATCTTCTAAAGTCAGCTTTTCCAAATCAAAAGCTAAAATTGTAATACTGTGTGATATCAACTTACATCTGTAATGTCTCCAGGTTCACCCTTCTGACCCTGATGAAAGAAAAGTATAGCAGAAGCACAATTATTAATATGGCTTACATACTATGTGTGACCACATGTTGAAGAAAAATCTAATTTCTTTTCATTAAGAGTATTAAATAAGACCCATGTTTGCTGTTGAGTATATAAATGTGGCACAGTGTGTACAGGAGATACCTATTATTCATCTGGCAACACTCATTTACATCAAACACATATCTAAATCCTTAAACGACTAGTTCCTCCTGCCTATCAATCAGGGAAAAACAGAGGCTCGACTTCACAGACACAAACAGTCATGATCAGAAACACAGTTATTTCGTGTCTCACCTTGGCTCCTGGTCCTCCTGTTAGGTGTTCACCCAAGTTTGAGATGGAAATAGATCACAGTTAGTGAACAGATGGCACCATGAACCCATAAGATCAGAACAGCATTCCACAACAGAATGAAGGAGTACATGGATCAAACACAGAAACTATTCAAAAGACCACCACCAAATCAGAGTGTTTACACAAAAAAGCCCATTAGGAGAGAACGAGTGTTGGTTGTCTCACCATCTCACAAAAGCCTAAAGTTAAAGCAAAACAGGTGCATTTAATGGAAGCAGCAGAAACCAAAAAAGCTTCTGCAGAGCACACGTTTCAGCAAGAAGGGCTTAAATTTGTAGCATTTTAAGTAAGGATTTTAGTACTTTACTGCTAATCTTTTGCAACAAGTTAGTTACAGCTCAAAGTGTGCTTAGTGATGGTAAGTAACTGGTTTTAAATAAGACTGGTTATGTTTTCATATTCAGTAAAATTATTTTTGACCAAATTTCAGATGTGATCAGGATCAATCCCATCGTCAGACCAGTTGTGCAACCTTTGACTCCTTTTAGTAGAAATTTTCCATATGAAGGCTACAAATAATCATTCAATTTCGGTAACCAGCCTTATTTATTTCTATTTATGCTGATGATGAATTATTCTTTGATAGATACTCTTAAAAAGCAACTATGTTTACCTTTAAACATGTAATGTTTTTCTAGCGTTTAAACCCACAAGCATGCATTGCAAACAGTGACACCTCTGGTTTCACTGATGCTCCTCAGCCGATTTTATTTACATTTCCAAAGCTGGCCATTGGTGTTGGGACACTGAGGCCTTTGTTTATCAGGAAGCCATGGCACTTTGGAGGCGAGCGGCCTGAATGGCCTCCTTCATTTACTCTGTACTCTCAGTGGAGAGTAGGGCTATTTTCTTGCCATCAGATCTGCAAAAATCCACAGAGAGGATATAGAGCAGAAATGTGAGGCCGTGGCTGCTTCACTGAGGTATTTCCTTAATCACTACCACATGTTTTCATGATACTCAGGGAAGGAGCGTATTTAAACAAGACGAGGCCAAGGTGTACCAGCTATGGAAAATCAACGGCCAGATTAAGCTTTTCACTGAAACCCTGTCTAGGTGTCACTGCTTTTTCTCATCATCTGTTTGCTTTGGGGGACAGAAAAGTGCATTCAAATTTACTACAACACCAAATATTCCAGGGGTTATTTTATTCTCATCCCTCCAAAACAAACAGCATGATCCCATACAGTAATTTATTTATGAGAGACGTAAGATAAATAAATTACCACCAAACGGTGGCGGCTGGTCAGCAGGGCAGATGGGGCAACACTCTCCAAATGGGATTTCAGGTTTGGGGCAGTCTCTTAGCTCCTCGCAGACAATGTCATCACACAGAACCGTTCCCGTGTCACACACACAGATGCGACAAGGCTCTGGTTTCCATATGTCCTTGTCGTTATAAAGCTGTCCTTCGTGCCTACAGGCAGAAGCATCCTCCTCTGTGTTTGAGATACCAGTCAAGGGGCACAAAGAGGAGGGTGCAGGTAGGAGGGAAGAAGGAGATTAACCCATAATAACAGCTGGCATTAAGTGAAAAATCACAGAATATAATGTTCCTCTCTACAATCACTCCTTTACAGTAATAATTAAAGACCTTTGGGAGATAGTTCAATGCAAAAATACCTTTTATTATTTATTTAAACACGTAATTTACTGAAGTGGTATATGTTAAATCTCTCTCAGTAACACTGAATCAGCAAACATACCCTGAAATATGTGCATGTGAACCATCAGAGAACTATGTTACTAACACTGACTCATTTTCATCAAGAAAATTTGAATACAGCATTGATATAAAGACTTCAACTCTCAGCTGATGAGTCGTCCAATCTCCAAAATTGCAATTGATTGTTTTGTATTCTAGTTCATAGAGTGCAATTTGAGATTTAAAGTCAACATGAGGTATAAATCAAATATTATAACATGCTTAATGAAGAACAGCATGCTTGGTGTTTCAAAAAAAGAGGCAAAATTTCAATGATTATTAGCAGCACGCCTAAATGGTCAAATTATCAAAATGTGGCATATTTCTAGATAGTCTTTTCTGTTGTCTAGAAGCTCCATCCATCCATGATTAACTTATATTTAAACCTTAAGAATGTGCCAATATGGACTAAGAACTCCAGAAGCTGAGCCTATGAAAGTATGGAGAAAAATTTAGTAAGGACGTTTTTTTTTTTATTATTATTATTATTTTTTACATTTACCCTGTATTAAGGCAGAAATTAATTAATGTCAGTCTCTATCTTGATCAATAAATTTGACGAATGGCTGTTCCATCTCCAATCTTGTATAACTGAGAAATCCCTTTTTACCAATTCTTTGTTGGGTCATGAAGGGGATGCATGCAACCTTTACAGTAGCCACAAGGTGGCGGTGTAAAACCACATACTTCAATTTAACCTGAGCAACGGTTGCAGGAAACCTCCAATAAATAACGCGAGTAGCACCAGTAGCTGAAGGCTTAACAAGCTAAAAATAGAGCTAGTCTACATTGTGGGAAACTCCCACATTAACTACATAAGAGAACGACTTTGATACAGGAAAAGAAAAGGTTTGCTTTTAGACCACAAACTGCCAAGGAGAACACATGATGAATGTTTTACCAAGCAGTAACTGCACATGATACAAATCTGATTAAATAAAGTAAACCTGACAACAGACAGAACAGGCACATTTTCCAGACTGGTAGAGACTGGCAGGAACACCTGATGAGAGAAATGATCTGACTGGAGTCAATGAACCTGTGCAGACGGGTTAGAGGCGACAGACGCAGCAAAAGGTAGGCCTGAAGGTATGAACTGGTAAGAGAGGATAAGAGGTGAAGGAACGAGAACAGTAGCTGTATTTACCTTTTAGCAATGCTTAAGTCTGCCTAACCTAACAGACCACAGCAGCAATGAATGGGGTCTTTCTGGAAAGGGGACCCAGTGGACAATTGACCAACTATTGGCTTGTATAAACATGGGGAGCATTTCAACCCCCATATGGAGGCCGTGGCTGCGTCAGATGCCAGTTCAAACACATTACAGGGAGGAAAATGGTGGCTTTCATGTGCATTCCTTGAAGTTTTGATGTTTAACTTTACAGGGCCAGATGCTATCGAAGTCTGCACCTGCCCTCCATTGGCTCACATATGAATGATTATCCTGATATGGGATACATTAATACCAGACCTCCTCCATACACTTGAAAGCTGAAATTTAACAGGTTTCTTATTATGGAATATAAATAGAAAAGAACTGGCTCCTGAGGGTAATTTTTATGGGACTAAAATGAACACTTGAAATAGAAATCCTGGAGTTTCCTAGGATCATAAAAGTTTCATCTTTTTAAAAAGTTTAATGTAACTTTTTGACTTTTATGTATCTGACATTCATGACTGAAATGTCAAAATATTTCTGTTAGAAAGATTTCTCCTCCAGCTAGAGAAGAAGGCTTGCATTATATCAAGACTCTTATTTCCCTGAGAGGGTAATTCGACACTTCAAATGACTTTGGCACATCTACTTTCCTTCTTTTCTCCTCTTTCCTCTGAGAAAATACACCTTTTATTTGCTTTAAAGGTTCAGACCTTTTTTTCTACTTCTGCAGAAAAAAAAATTACTTCTCAGAATTCAGGCCTGATGTGCCAGTCTTATATATATTTTTCCATTCAGCGCTATTCCCTTCTAGCTCAATCTCTCTCTCTCTTTTTCTCTCTCGCTGTCACAGCTTAATCTTTCAAATGGAAGAACTAAAATCACATAAAATGGTATTCCTGCCCTGTTGTGGCCTCTAACATCTCTTGGGAACGCTAAAACTAAATAACGATGCAGGTAAATTCTACTTCACCTTTACCTAAATTTATAAATATTAGGAATTATTTAATAATGGAAAATGATATTGCTCTAATTTCAGAAAGGACAACATCAAGTTCACAATTCTATAAGTCTTTTTAAGAGTATTTGTAGTGACAGTATCACCTTTTTGCCTCAGCATGCCAGGATTCGCCAGGATGCCCTCTGACAGCAATGGAATGTGAACACATTTTACCAAAGGCCCTTGAGCCTGACCACTTTTCAGTTTTTTCTTCTGCCTCTCTCCCCCTCTTTATTAAGTGAATCTGCAGTTTTAAAGGATAGTCTGTCAAGGCCCCTCAAGCACCCTCAGGTGTCAGGCAGTTCAACTTCCAGAAAGAACAGCCAGGGTAATAGGAAAAAGCTGCAGGGTTACAGGGAAGTCCAATGTGTCACTCATATTTATTATTCTGCCTTAAAACTAAAGGCAACTAATGCAACTTTTATCAGATAGAATAACAGAGTGAACTTAAAAATAGCATCCAAAGAGGCAAGATTATACTCCAGTTGCAAAGATCTCCATCAGCCTTTTGAGCAAGCACCTGTGGATTTTATAGGCAGACAATCATCTTTGCACTTTAAACCCTACAATATTTTGCGCAAAAAAAGAAGTTATATTTCCCTTGCGTGAAGGTGCAACGACCACATCAAATCACCATAAAAGCAAATTATTTCATAATCTTGCATAAAAAAAAAAAAAAAATAAATAAAATAAAAAAAAACCTCACTTGAACATTATGACAAAGTTATACATTTTAGTCACTTACGGTCATCTTCCAGTTGACATCTCACAACGGCTAATAGACAAACTTGGGATGCTATAAGAAGCAGTACAGTCCTGGAATCCATAAAGCTCAACATGTCTAAATATTAGACATGCAGCGGGGAGAGAGAAGGGTGCGAAGGCTTCTCTCAATAATTTTTAGTGTTTTATGTCCCAGTTACAAAAAACGGACCATTCGACTTTTACCCTTCCCGGATGATAATCGATGAGGGGGGAATCCAGCGGCAGGACCCGGACCTGCAGCACAAACTCAGCACCGACCGCTCCAGGCCAGACGCTGTAGTTTTATGTCCCCGTTGTCTTCAATGAATCTTCGTATATTCCAAAATACCAGCCCGGCCCCTTTTAACCCCCCAGTCAGGCTGAAATTTGACTCCCCCTTATTTCTCCCTCCCAGTCGGTCTCCCAGGTTCCATTATCCCACTTACAGACCACTCCTTTCCTCACGTGTGGACAGGAGCCCGAAAAAGACGCAAACTTGTTTAACTATTTTCCTTTTGCATCCAGTCTCACCTTCACGTTACTAATCGGGAGAATGCCAGCGTGGTTCGGTTGTTATAAATTGCGGCACTTCTTTGACATTTAGTGATACAGGTGCCTAACCTGTAACTGAAGTTTTGCACATGAAGTCTTCTGTAAACGTATCACAGTTTTTTTTTTTTTTTGCGCTGAAAAAGTACCATTCTGTTGTAAAGGTAGCGCTCAAACTCAAAACCCCAATTTTTCTCTCTTAAAAATAAAAATAAATTATAATAGATAAATAAATAAATACAATCACAAACCCAAATTCAGTATATTCAGTAATTTTGAATACCACATATGATCAAGCCACAAAGGCTAATTTCTAACTTGCAGAGTCCTATCATAGAGGTGTGCTCTAGCTAATCATTGGAAAGTTAAGTGGGAGGAAAAAGTGACTGAAAAAGGTGTGCAAATAGATGAGAGCAGTGATGAAACGGTTATGAAGCAAAGTGAAATCAAGAGTTTGTGGGAGACTCTGAAGGTACAGAAGTAGAAATGGGGTACAAATGAGACACGTTCAATTAAATTCAATTCAGTTTTATTTATACAGCACCAATTCACAGCAAATGTCACCATACAAACACAATCCCAGTCATACTCTGTGTGACTAATCTCAACCTGTACAACTTCAAATTGATATTTCACAAAAAATAAAAGCACAACCAAAAAATATGTGGCATTTGGATGGAATACCCTGACTTTAAAATGTTTCATAAACAGTTGGTAGACCATTAGAGAAATTCTTCTAATTTTCCGATTTAGTTATAATAGCAGAAACATCTGACTTCTTCACATGCTCAATTTGTGGATTCCTTCCTCTGAGAACGGCAGATGACCTTCCGGAACAGCCTAGATTTTCCTATCAGACCCACGGACGGGTCCTGCAGTTTGACCTGTCCAGACTTTCACCTGTCCCATCAAACACTGAGATTGCACTAAAAGCCATTTGTGAGTAGCAGATGAGAATTTAGTTGCATCATCAAGAGTCCTCAGCTCTTTACAGGTTGCGACCTTTGAGCTTTGACGTTTGACCCACCACACTTTGCTGGAGCCAGGAGCAGCTGGTGTCTCCTGGGGATGCAATGGGGCTGATGCTCAGGTGTCCAAGGAGAACAGAGGTTATCACCTGAAAAGCTTTGTAAATCAGTGAGCTTCATAACTGATTTACATGAGATGAGTGTTGAGTGAGTGGATCACTGGAAGCTGAAAAAAAAGTGAAATTTGTACCAAATTAATAAAAAGTTAAACTGAGCCATTTTATTTCAGTCTTGGACAATAAACCATCCAATGTGTTTACTGGATGGTTTATTGGCAAAATAAGTCATATTTTGCCTTTTTTATGAACTCACTTGGATTTGTAAAACTTGTAATTTTGTGTATTTCTAGTCATGTTTTGGCTGGTTGTTGAGCACAAATGTTTCATCTCAGGCTGTAAGTTTTGTGCAAGGAATAATAAAGCTGTTTTTCTTTTGGGATCTTGTGGTTGGATTTCAAACTCTTTGTAGCGCTGGGATCAAAGGCAAAATGTCACTAAACTGACAATTATCTATTCATAGGGTAGAGGCAGAAAAAGATGAGTAGTGTTTTGGTTGAGCATTGTCGTAGACTAACTAGCTATATGCCGTTCTCTATTGTGGCACTCTGCATCCAATATTGACAAAATATTAACAACATTTTAAACTGTAGGTGTTATTTTACAATTTTAAGGTTTGAACAGGTGAGATGTTGTTACATATGTAACAAAATAAAAAAAATAATATTATGATAAAAAGTTTATGCCATAAATGGTACATGAGATTAAAAAAAACAGCACCAGCATACAGATAAAAACAAAAATATTGGTCAACATAATACTTACTTTTTATGTTTTACTTCCCTGTTACCACGGTTTACTTCTGCTTTGCCTTGAATTGCAAGAGTGCCAAGGGCAACATATTTACATAACACGAACATAAATGGCTACGGATGACTAATTACAAGTTCTTATGTGCTCTGATCAATTTTCAACATAATTGATCAGAGCACCTAAGTTTGTAGGTGCTCTGGTCAATTTTCAAACTAACTAGAAAAGTTTGTTTTGCAGAAACTGGAGAAGGATTTTTATTAAAAACTATTTTATAACTAGAGATTTATAATAAATGTACTCCAATTAAAATTTTAATAAAAAAATATACACATTTTCTCAGGAATTGATTTTAGTAATCAGGAGCTCTGCATGTTAAACTTGACATTTTGAAGAGTCTGCTAACAGATGTGTGTGCTTCAAAGTGATGCATGAAGGGCACAGATCTTTCAGTGGGGATGAGAAAAGAAAACACATGGCATGAGGGATATTGTGAGTGAGCACCAGAGCCAAAGACCGGTGATCCATTGCTTGGAAGGGAAAAAACCCCCAACAAAATAAAACATTAAAAAACAATTCTAAACTGTCTGAGGAGACAGAAAAAACATGAGGATAGTGAAGCTTTGCAGCTGTTTAGGAATGAAGTCTGTCTGGTAAGACAATCAAAAAGTTTGGGGGAAAGAAAAGCAGGGAGAAAGGGAGCCAGACAGGGAAGGGAGGTGCAGAATTGTTAAAAATGTGAGAGAGAATAAGAGGTAAGGTGGGTGGGAAAGCTGGAATGCAGAAGGAAGGAGGGAACTGAAGAAGGGGAGAAGGTGGGATATCAAGGACGAGATCTGCAAGCACAGAGAGCTTTAACTGAAGCCATGTGAGACTGCTGCAGAAATAACAAAAGCCATGACATCACCAGCTGGGTTGGCACTGAAAGACGACCTTTAGGCACAATAACATTACTTCCAATAGCCTGGTTCCTTCCACAAGGCACATCCATAACTAACTCAACGCCTAGTTAACATTATTACTTTCAAATATAAGGTTAATACGGATTTAATCATCCCAAAAATATAAAACGCCTTTTAATAATTTAGAGTTAAGCATCAGGTTTTTATTTTAGGCCACAAATGAATGAAAACAAGAAATATATAAGTCAAAAGGATTGAAAGGCTCTCCAGCAGTGTAACCTGGGACAAAGACACTCAGTAGATTTTTTGTTGTTGTTGTATAGTGGCAATAGAGCAGAGAATCAGAAGATATAAATAAGCTGGTATATTTTTCTCCACCAGTTTTTAATTAAGGCCAATAAAATCTGCAGTCTTGTCACATAAACTTGAGTGTTTATGAATGGGACTTGAAAAGAGGCTGGGAACTTGTAGACAAATGTGTTTCCACCCTGACCAAATAAACGGTATCAGCTAAACACCGTGTGGTCTATTGATTTTTAACATCACTGTGAAAATAATTAACTGAAAATGTTCAGCATGTTTTCTAAGCTTAATTGTTTCCTGTTTAAAAAAATATGCAGAATACTAAAATCTGTTTGGATTTTAAAGAGCAGTTTTACTTCTCCATATTTAGAAATTAGAGATTTTACATCTCTGAGAGAGAAACAGCTGCCCCTAGCTGCACACTTTCACTTAAATGTTGGAGTAATATCCTGCTCCTCTTGGCTCAAATGTCTGTTTTTATTGCAAAAGCAGCACTATATAATACATCAACACCTTGGGAGTCGTGGGATCTCTGTATCACATTTTCTCATTCTTGTTTGTTTGCTTGAGTTTGTTTGTTTTAATGGATCGCTCAGGTCATGATTCAGACTCAGAGACAGTCCTCTGTCTGACTTAGAGCTCATTTGTCAACAACACAGAACACCCATGTTTACCGAGGCCACTGTCTGTCTCACACAAATCCATCTCTATTTGAATTAGCAGCAGCTGACATCAAAGTGTGAACATAGCTAAAGAAGATATTTCAGCTGTTCTGAAATGGGGATGGAGTGGAGTGCTTATAAGTTCTCTGTATCTTACCTGCAGTACCACAAAATATTTGATGAAAATCAGAAAACTGAGAAGTAAATTTCCATGATCCAAAGTCATGAAAAAGGGTCTCATTAAGATCATCTGCTATGATAAATTCTGGGTGTGTTCTCTATTGAGTTTTGCTTCTATTTCCTGTTATTGCAGCATATTTTTTTTTGTTTGCAGCACTTTCCTGTTTCATTTGTTATTTTTGTTTTCCACATATGTTCTCAGCTTGTTTTGACGTTTCCTGTTTGCTGCTCATTTTGCCATTTGCTGCGCATTTGCACCTGTAGGCCACCGTAAGTTTTGGTTTTAAATCTCCATACAAAAGTAACAAAGGTTTAAAGGCTCATTGAAGGTTTGTTTGAATAACAGTGACAATTTTTGAGGTTACATGTGTTTTAAGATTTAACCCGGGAAATGATTATCCTCACTTTAATTTACTTTTCTTCCTGTTGAGAATCTTTCTTTGGGGCACAAACTGATTATTCAAGAGATGATATTTTATAGTAAGTCACTGATCTCTTAAAACCTTTTAACATAATCCATCTTTCCATGCATCCATTAATCCCTCTAAATTTTGCCTATACCTGCTTTTTCATGTAGGGCTACTTAATTAGTACTTCAAACTTTTTTAGCTCAAATTTTATCCCTACGACCCACACTTATTGGATATTTTCTCAAATTGGATCTTTCTGTGCAAGTTCTCTAATGATCTGAAAACCAGTTAGCTTGACTCTTTCATTAAAACTGACTGCTTCAAGTAAGATCCTGAGTTCTCATAAGCACAAACTTTATTCAAAAAAATGTTTCTTTAGGGAAAAAAAACATAGAATCAGTTTTTTTTTTTAATAATAGATATAAAGGTGTGAAGAAATGTTTTTTATAGTAAAAGCCAGAACAGCTG